CGAGGCCATTTCATTGATCCAAACTGTTTGTGCCTTGTTGCAAAGACTTGTTGAGAACAGTAACCTTCAGGTTTAACATAATTTAACCAGGTTCAATTATACAAAATCTCACTGTTGTGCATTTGAAGACTATTTCATTTGAAGTTTGTCCTTGTTTGATTTTGACAATGGGCTGGCATCCTGAAACCTGTGGGCTACACACTATTTTCAGATATATTATTTCAATTATGAAACAGCAAATCTTCTAATTTGTATCTACTGATATATTATTGATTAATTTTACTAATCTAGACTAGTGCAGGGGGTTGTTTTTTGAATTAATCCAGAAGTGAGGTGGAGTAAAATCTGTTTTACATCGCTATTTTTTTCTGAAGGAGGATCATCATACCCTAAGCACCAATTATGTATCTTTCCACCATTGGAAGCTGGAGCCGATGTAGAAGATTATGCTTGAGTGAAGGTACAATCTATGAAGCTTTTGTTTTTGCTTGAAAAGATAAATGAATGATAAAGATAAAAATCACACCCCAAGCATCAAATTGTAGCAGCTCAAAAAAGGTGTCTAGGGAGGTTATTTAAAACCCACCTCAAAGAGCCAGACAAGCATCGGAAAAATAAATAAATCAAAATAAAAAAACATTACTCGAAACGGATGATGGATAAAGTCCTAATGTAATAAAAAAGACTGAATTCAGAGAAGCCATCCAAGTAGCCTTAAAAAGAGATTGTGTGAGTCACATCTTAGAAAATAAGATTCTCTCCTAAAATAAAGATATCTGATTGCAGCCAACTTCAGGCACCGAGTTCCAAAATGTGATTTCTGCATCATTAGGAATATCAGTTACAATAAAAATAGAAACTGGAGCCTTACAAGAACATCATTACTCAGAATCTCAAAATACATACAAAGAATATGTGAACATTGTCCCTGAGAATTTTCTTCCTCTTCTAACTGATGACGGACTGCCAAATAGAGGGATTATGTGAGAGAGGAATGAGAAATATAATTTGTACTTTCTTTGTGCATTTCTGAAACTGTATGTTGTTCAGGAGCATGTTCAGTGAGGGGGGAGGAAGATGTCTGGACTAGCTTTGCAGTATCAGTTTGATAGTCTTTTTATTTTTTGTGCTCACTTCTGCTCCTTAAAGTTTGACTGTCTTGTCTTTATTGCCCCACCTTTATGAGAGTGCAACAGTTAAATGTTGGACTTCCCCTTTATTTTTCAGGTTTGCGTTATACAAGACCTGTGTTTCACCCTATCTCTGCTTCCTCAGTGCACATTTGTAGCCTCAGGACAGGATGTAAAATAAACTGCAGACTCACTGCATCAGACTAGAATGAAATACGAACAAAAACACAGCCCGAAGACCCAAAGATTTTCTTTTCGCAATTTGGGAAAAGCATGAAAAAACAAACACATAAAAAAAACAACAACAAAAAAAAAAACACTAAGGGTTCCCATGACAGAGAGCATGAGCCAAAGCTCAGTGGTACACATTACATCCCTCTGAGGAGTTTCTCCCCTGGCACAATTTAATGGCCAACTTGGCCACTACAGCCAACTCACTGTTTCCACAGATGTCCCAATGGCTTAGCACATGGGCATCCATGCACATGCACACGCATGCTCCCCTGGCACACATCATTTCTGAGGCTTCAGAATATATTGTCCTGAGAGTGGCCTCCTGCCCAACTTTGGTGTGTTTGCATGTGTCTGTCGGCATGGTAACGTGTATGTTTTCCACGCCGTGTTGACTCCGCCTGCCAGAACTCCGGACTGATATGTTCATTATGAAGGAGTCATGGAGAGAGTGGTGAAGGGATTTCCACTGGGGCGTCTACCTGTCTTTACTCAGTAAAGTGAGCAAACCTGAATGTAAGAACCACAACAAATATTTCATGAGCTTCATCTTGAAGTGGGCACACAAGTCATAGAGGAGCTGAAACCTGCCTCTCCAGCACATGATTTACTTCAACCACACTACAGAACATTGTGGATCTCACACTGTGGCTGGTGGGTTTCAGGATAAAAATCAAAAAATGTTAGAGAATAAGAGCTGGAGTTAAGGGAATAGGGCGCACCAGATTTCATAGATGATGGGAGGAACCAAGTAGATTTTCTGCGCCATGCTCATGCACTCAGGGGCTTACTAAAATTGCCTCCATACCTTTGGCAACCACTGAGTCCAGATGGTGGGAATCTGGAGCATCGGGAGGGAGGAATGGAGCGATGGTGGGAGAGAAGGGGAAGGAGGGTTGGAGGATGAAAGGAAAGAAGGGGAGTGGAGGGAGAGCAATAGAAGGCAAAACCCCTGCTCTGTTGAGAAAAACAAATGTCTAGAGGGTGCTATCTGCTTCTGTCTCCGTACTGATTTATGACACACAGGAAGAGCGGGAGAGACATTTTAAATGAGAAGGATGAAGAATGAGGGGAAGACAACATGGAAAAAGAGAAAGTAAGGTGATCGAGAAATCGAGCGGAGAAAAGGTATGATTAGAAGGCAGCAATAGATAGAGAGAAATGGACAGTATCAAAAAGGAGAGCGACCTAAGTGGCAGAGGATCAAAGTGACAAATACTCCTCCTGTGACCCTGCAGCTCCTGTCTGTAATGGGAGGTCTGGGAGATTGAATCCTTGGCCAGAGTTCCTGCGGTCACTGAGTGTGGCCAAACTAATTTGGTCCTGTCATAACAACCAAGTAGGAGATGGACACATGGTACTTGTGAAAAAAACCCAACAATACAAAAACAGAGGCAATCTGAAAGGTAGAAGGAAGAGGCCAAGTGCGTGTTATCTGACAGAACGCCTTTTGTACTTTAGGGCAGAGAAGGAGCCGACATGATTGACATGTCCCATTGATGTGTCGATGTTTATTTGGACTGACAATCTATGATGTTATTTCTGTCAGTCTTTTTATTTCATTCATCTTCTGTCACATACAAAGGCATCCACACCCCTGAAACACGGAGCAACAAGGAGCTTTGTGTGTTTGCGGAGCCCGATTCTAGCTGTCTAACTGGGGAACTGGTTGTAGACATGCAGATGTGAGAGTGAATGGAAAACATCTGCATAAAGAAAGTTTAAAGTTTAACAACTGATGTGTGCATTAGATTGTGGACCTATCAGGACCAGATGCGGGTTTGGGTTGGGCTCGGTCACAGGGCTCTCTACCAGATCTTTTATGCTACAAGTTCCTGTCCTGCCCAATGCCTGTTCGGATTCAGGTCAGGCTTGACAAAATTTCTTTGATAGAATTTCTCTTTTTCTCTGGATATATATAGAGCTATATATAGATATACATCGCTTTACAGTACAGTTTTGTCATTCACCCATTCACACACACATTCATACGTCAGTGCAGCACTTTCTCCATCATACATCACTCATACACACAGGGGCAATTTGGGGTTCAGTAGCTTGCCCGACTGTCGACCTTCTGGTTATTGATCGACCAACTGAAATCTGGCCTGTGGTACATTTTGTAACTTTAAAATAACAGGAATTATCATATGGTAGCTGAACATGAGCGCATGAGCTGCATAAGATTGGATTCTATTGTTGTTTTTAACCTTTGAAAAAGTGAAAAGATGTGAGCAAATGTTTTAGTTTATTTAACTTTAATTTAATTTAAACTGTTGTTTCATGGAAATTGCAAATGTCAGAAAAGTCTGACTAACTAGTGTGTTACAACTTTCCTCCAAGACTGATCGGTTTTCATACGTACGTTTGGTTGGATTATAAATCCTGCTCATAACAACAAAAAAACAGCATTCAGTGGAAGCTGCTCCAGGATCTGTTTGTTTCAAACTTGTCATCCAAGCTACACATACCATACTGTAAACAATGTTCCAAGTGAAACATACTGTTTGAGAATACAAACAATAACACAAATATAACATATATAACACAGTAACACATTTAACCACTGCCTTACTTGTCCAAGTTAATAAGCTAGGCAGCTGAAAAAGGGTTTTATGTTGTTTGAAAGAAAACTGATTCTGATCCTGCATTTTTCCTCAAAGTTACAAAACTAGGACAACAATTGCCCCAGTTTGCAAAACAGGAACAAGGCAGATTCTTACTTCCACATCTTCAAACATTACAAGGTCTTTCTACTATATAAATATGTAGTTATCAAACGCATACAAATCTTTTTAGAGGATTCTTGTTTTAAAAGCTTGGAAAATTAAAAGGGAGCTTGTGAAGGCGTTTTCAAACAACTCACAGACCGAATGTTAGCTTCATTCTCTAGGTAGCTGCAGCAGCACTGGTCTTTAACACAGGAGACTGCTGTTTGTTAACCATTTCAAACTGACAGTCAACATCTGTTTCTTTTAATCACAGATTGGACATTAAGATGAACAACATGTCTCCACTTCTTCCCACTATACAAAAAAGAAGCCCTAATATCCTAATATAAACACACACAGAGTAATTGTTGGGATGGAGACACAGTTACAAGGTCCTGCAATACACAAGCTCGACCAATCACCAGTCAGTCTTAGCTGTCAATCATGACGTTTCCCCCCCGGTTCTATAGCATGAAATAACTAATTTAAAACAACTTACCAGAAAAATTAAACTTGAACACACATACCACAGTGATAAAACTTTTTTGTTGATGTATATTTCACATTTTGATTTGGTCCATGTCCCATTCAGTAACATAGAGGAGGCATACACAGCAGCTAACCACCAGGTGGTGATCAGAATCCTTTAGGAGAGCAGTCATGTCGACCATCTTTAAACGCCTGTTTATTATTGTAACCATGACGATAAAGGTATGATAACACAAACCATGATCTTTCCCTGAACATAGTCGAGCTAGTTTGGTGCCAACAACCAAACAATCCTTTACTTCACCACTATCACATCATAAAGCTCACAGTTTACTAAGAATCTCAAAATGTGAATCTGCCAGTGTTGTTTCTGTAAAGTGCATGTGCACAGTGTGATAATATACATTACAATAATAAGGATAATGTGACAAGTCTTTACCTGTGACCTCGAAGGTGCATTTGCCTGCACCGGCCTCGTTGATGACATTACACGTGTACTCCCCCCAGCCGTCGCGATTGAGGCTGCGGATCGTGTACTCTGTCTCATCTTTTTGAGCGTCGAAGGCTCCGGCGTGGAGTAGCCGGTTTGAGAGAAGCCACTCAAACCTTAGCACACGGGAGGGGTGGGCTCGCAGCACCCTGCAGGTCATCACCACAGGTCTCCCAAGGCCCTGACGCATCTCGGAGTAAACCGGTTCTACAGTCGGCGGGTCTGCACAAGAGAAATAAAGGCTCAGACGAGTTCAGCTAATATTTGATAGGGACAGAAAGGTCTGTCAAGGATGTCGATGCAATGGAAGTATGAAAGGAACATGAAAAAAAGTTGTTAAAAGAGGGTATAGAGGAGAGGAGAAAAAAAGACTGAGTAGGAGGAAGATGCACTGAAGTCCATACAAGCCAGACACTATTCAGAAGAGGGCCCTTTTGCTCAGACTAGATTGTCTGTAACACCCTGAGGAATTTCATTAACAGAGAAAAGGATCTGGAAGACAAAAAAGACAGTCAGAATAATAAATCTAGAAGTATTAGGTATGAGAAGAATTAATACATTTATTTAAAAACTTAAACATGGACATGTCATGGAAGTGAAAACAAGGAAAATGGATCTGAGCGATGTTCTTAAAACTCTGACCTTAGACCAAAAACACATGGTTAGAAAATCACAGCTTTTTCAAAGACAAGATATCTGAATCATACATAGAAGGGACAGAAATATTTCACTCTAACATCAGGACATGAAAAGGACTATTGAGCAGAAGGAAAAAGTGAGATTTAAGCATATTGTAAATAAACTTTAAACAATCAGCTCTGCTGAGTCAATACTACTCAACCATAAATGAAAAACCAAGCATGAAAACAACAGTGGGGAGAGCAGCAAGAGGGTGCGGGAAGATCAATTTTGCAGAAAAAATAGAACAAAGTTCTGAATGAAATCAGCCACACTTCACAGAACATTGGGAACAGCATGATGAAGTGCATCTCAAGCTTTCAAAATGTAAAATTAATAACTTATTTCAGTGACAGGCTTCACCTCTCCCCACCAAGACAACCTGGCAGTGAATTATTTAGCCAGTTGTCACAGAGCGCATTCAGCTGCTGAACATGACCTCGATGCAACATAAAATGTGTTATTCTATTGGTAAATTTTGTGCAGCGGTTAGCACTGTCCACTAACAGCAAGAAGGGCCATGGTTTAAATCCCAGCATGGCCAGCGTCTTTCTGAGTGGAGTTTGCATTGATTTCTCTGGGTACTCCAGCTTCATCCCACAGTCCAAAGAATGGGGTTCGGTCAATTAAGGTCTATAAATTGTCCATAGGTGTGAATGGTCTTTAAAGCCATTTTCAGACGTGAAATGGAGAATTTCTGCTCAACTGGGTCCGGACTTTCTCTAGAGGTTTCCTAATACAAGTGGACACAGCAGACGTGTTTACGACAACACAGAAATCTCCAGAGGTGAGGGGTGGTGAGGCAGAGGAAGGACGTAGCGTATTGATTTGGCGACGGAGATCACATGTTTTTGTTTATAGCACATCAACAAAGGCATCAGCTCTTATGATCAAACGCTCTCTTGACATTTTCATTGGTGTCTGCATCCTGATGTATTGTGTTCTCACAACGGCTCATTCTGATATCCTCTGAAGTTTTTACTAGGGTCTGGGAAAAACTCAGAGGATAAGTTCTATAAATAATGGTTTGGATGGAATTTCGGTATTTGTTAAACATTTGCTTGATTCATGTGCAAGGGGACAAATGCATCTGTAGGTTTTTTTTCTTGAGGACAAAAATAAGTGCTTGTCTGCGAACGCACTGAAATTGGTTGCGAATAATTTCCCCATCTTAAGCATCTTTGCTCTTGACATGCTCACACAGACTCTTGACAAAAGTCACGGCAGGGCTTGAAAAACAACAGCGAACACTGGAGAGAAGAGGCAGAACGACACAGAGCCCCTTAATGGCCTGAATTTGCATAATTCCTCTCTGAGTAAAGGAGAGGCGGGGAGCTACAGCCAGGGTTAGGGATGCTACTTTTCAAAATGTAATCTGTTACAGATCACTGATTACCTGATTGAATCTGCAACATAATCTTCTACATTATTCACACCAGATAATATAATATAATTACTGAGCCTTCTGAACTTGATAGGATATGCAATTAAACAAACTGTTTATTAAAATTTACAGCACATAATTTGATTGCACAATTAATGTCATTATCTTTAAACTCAAACAGCCATATTTGTTGGAAGATGCTGAAATAAATCTTTTAAAGATACAAGGATTTGAATGTTGAATGTGCTAACTGTGTTATTACGTTGTTATGTTTTTGTCTGTTGCACATAATAGAGTTAACCTCAGCCCAGGCTATAGAGCAGGGCAGGTCATCCAGAGGTGTAAGAGCAAAGATCAAAATAATATACACCTAAAAATAACAGTGGGATTTTACTTGTTGCCCTCTATGCTAATTATCACACATCCTGCAATTCACAGAGCAGCTACCATAATTAATGACACACCATTTGATGAGATAATGAGTTGCTCAAATGAGAAATATAATAAATCATCACAAACTAGGTGACAGAAGAAGTTAACTCAAATCGAGAGAGTTGGTCAGCCGATACAGTTCACGAGGTGGAGAGTAAAGTAGCCTTAATCAGCGTAAAAACGAAACAGCAATCAGCTCCTCCTTCAAACAAGTCTTTCCTGGGCTTTTACCCAAAGCCAGTGGCTTATCTGTGACTCCTAGAGACTCCGAATCTCTACTTATCACATTCAAATTGTAGGTTTGTGTGTGTCGGTGAATCACAGCCCAGCTCCAGAGCCTCCCTGAGTGGCACTACACCAAATTGCAGTAAGTGCATTTCTATTCACACAGACAAAATGAAGACAGGGTTGGGGTCTGCAGCAAAATGAAAAAAAAAAAAAAAAATCTTACGTAACAAAAACATCCTTTAAACAAGGGCACATGCCTCATCTCCCCCCTGTGCATCTTCCTGTGGAACAGCTGCCCAGCAAACATGAGGCGAAAGGAGCGAAAAGGTCCTCTGTAATATTCCCTGAGCAGTGCTCACTATGGTTAGTGCAGCAGCGAGAGGTGGGAGAGGGCTCGGAGTTGCTGTGAGTCACAGGCCGAGGGAAAACCCTGAGCACTGGCTGAGAAGTAATCCATCATCAGTCACCGGTGGATACGTTGACAGTAAAGTGGAGAAAAACAACATTTAGGAGCACAGAGGCCTTTTCCCCACAGTCCACGTGGGCTGCCATCTACAGGGAGGAGGAAGCTGAGGTGAATTTGTGTGCATGCGTGCACCTGCATCTCTGAAATACCGCTTGACTGGTTTAAAGTAAACTTCAACTTCAGTCAAAATGGCTTTCAATCTTCCTTCCCTGCACTTCAGGTGAGTGCATTGAGAGAAAGACATGCAAGCCTGTGGGCAATAGTAAAAACTAAAATTGACTGAAAAGTGAAGCTTGTATTTTTACCTGCATTCTTCCTATGCATCTGAATGTTAATTTGGTCTTTTAAGTTTAGTCTTCCCTTATGGTTCACTAGATGGCAGTATGCAAATCTTTTACTTAAATAAAAACTCCAATACGTTCATCCTTTCATTAGATATGGTCCTGTTCAGACCTGGTGTCAACATCCGTCCTGAGAGATCTGATCACAACTGGACAGCTTTAAGTTCCTTCATTTCTGTTTGTGTTGACCAAATGATGTGGTTTATAGCCTGAGTCAGACGAGTCTGAAGCCAATCCCAGCTGACATTGGTGTGCGAGGTGTAGTACATCACAGGTGGGAAGCACCACAGCACCACAGCAATATAAAAATACTGTGTTACAAGTAAAACGTCTGCATTAAAGTAAAACTGCCAGATATTTACTAGCAAAATATACTATGTATCAAAAATAAAAGCACTTAGAGCAAAGAAGAATAAAGACACAATATAACGTTAAGGTAATAAACTGGTGTATGAATAACTGCTGAGTAGGAAATAATACCACGGCTGTGGCAAGTACTAACAAATAAATTCTTGCTATTACAAGCAGGGTAAAAAAAAAAAAATAAAGGAATCCTTCTTTCATACTCTTTCATTATTAATTCCACGCTTGTCTTCTTTGCTGTACGATAAATCAGTGTTAAGCTATTGTCAACAAAACTCAACACATTAAAAGTCTACCTATAAAAGGAAGGCTGCGAGTTTTTTAATGTGGCCATATTTCAGAGTGTGTATCAAGAGTGGAATTAGAGCTGTGTAAATGGACGTTAAACAGATTTAATGAAGGCAGAGGGTAAACAAGGAGGGAGTTTACAGTTTGCAGTTTTCATAAAATGGTGAAAGGGGGAAACTAGAAATAAAAATAAGCCTGTCCTGAATAAAGGTCTGGTCTGCTTTGCCACTGAGGTAAATAAAGACCACTGCATTTTTTCATTACTGGAGCATTACATTGTTTGAACAGAGTGTCAATGGCATTAACTGCTCTAGTGGGTGAAGGGGGAGCTACTTTAACTACTTTATATGTAGTTTAGAACAGTCCCACAGGATAAATCTAGGTTATAATGAGTTGATTATAGGAACAAGAAAAGTATTTGTTCTTCTCCACACATTTGTTTTCAGTTTTACTGGAATATATTTGCAAAATAATGCATAATTTAATTATGTAAATCTGAGAAGTTTGAAGAGGAAATCTCTCCTCAAGCAGAATTATTAACCACTAGACGCTGCAACATTAACAAGTGGCCTCATCTAGGGTCTGCTGCTGTCAAAAAGGTCAAGAACAACTGGTCTTATCTTTATGATGAATTATACATTGGATCACGTTTTTATGTAGAATCTTTAATAAAGCGTATATTCTCTCTGAAATGTGGTGGAGAAGAAGTGTAAGAACGGACCACCTACTCGGATCATGTCTTCCGACCTGCTACAGTTTCACTATGAATCAAAATCTGCCTATACGCTGATTTGTTTGTGGCCACGACATCAACACTGATCACCACATAATGACTGATGCCTACATTGGGAACATCTTTCTTCGTAACAGCGTACATTCATTCAGTCAGCCCCTCCTGACTCCACTCGCTCGATTTCTCTCTCGCTCACGCCGACAAACACAGTACAAACATTGTGATTGGACACATCTGTAGAGTCAGACTGGGTAAAAATCAACAGCATTTGGTGTTTGCAAACAGAATTGTTATAAGTGTTTATTTACA